TCAGAAGGAAAGAAGGCTGGAGCCAGAGCAGTCAAGTCATTAACATGTTCCAGATGAAAGACCGAGAAGATGGGCACAAGGGAAGAGTCGGTTAAAGAAACAGTAATCGAAAATGACTCTTAAGATGCAGTAGAAGGTCCCAAACATGTAGAGATAAGCTTTTATTTTCTGAACTCAAATTGCATGGAAGAAAAGTGTGTAACCTGTCAGAACGGCTAAAATTAACAACTCAGGAAACAACAGATGTTGGTAAGGATGCAGAGAAAGGGAACCCTCTTGCACTGTTGTTGGGAATGCAAACTGGTGCAGCCACTCGGGAAAGCAGCATAGAGCTTCCTCAAAAAAGCTAAAAGTATAACTACCCTATGACCCAGCAATAGTACTACTAGGTATTTATCCAAAGTATACAGAAATACTGATTCGAAGGGCATGTGCACCCCAATATTTGTAACAGCATTATCAACAATAGCCAAATTATGGAAAAAGCCCAAATGTCCATCAACTGATGAATGGATAAAGAAGCTCTGGTGTGTGTGTGTGTGTGTGTGTGTGTGTGTACACACATACATACATATACACATACATACATACAATGGAATATTACTCAGCCATCAAAAAGAATGAAATATTGCCATTTGCAATGACGTAACTGGAACTAGAGCGTATTATGCTAAGCAAAATGAGTCAGTCAGAGAAAGACAAATACCATATGATTTCACTCATATGTGGAATTTAAGAAACAAAACAGATGAACATGGACGAAGGGAAGGAAAAATAAGATAAAAACAGAGAGGGAGGCAAACCATAAGAGACTCTCAACTGTAGAGAACAAATTGAGGGTTGCTGGAAGGGAGGTGGGTGGGGGATGGGCTATCTAGGTGATGTGTATTAAGGAGGGCACTTGTTGTGATGAGCACTGGGTGTTATATGTAAGCACAAATTCTACTCCTGAAACCAAATACTATACTATACGTTAGCTAATTTGAACTTAAATAAAATCTTGAGGAAAACAAAAACCAACAACAAAAACAAAAGGTATGTAAGATAGGAAGATCCAATGTGAAAACAATTTCAAAGATGGCAATAAGAGATAGAATCATCCAAACTGTAAGGAGTTTGCTAAATGCCTCTCTTTGCTCTCTTTGAAACCCCAACTAAGGCAGATACTAATTTTACATTACATAGCACTAACTCTTCACCTTGTACACATTTGCTAAAGTTCCTCTTGTAACAAGCTATCCTTAAATTATGCATTAGGGTGCTCTGCTTCTGTCAGCTGCTGTCAGCACTCTTCCTTAGTGGTTTCTACCATCTGAGATGGTGGTTCCCTAGCTCATAAAAGCATGTGATTGTTATCATCAGTCCCCTGGCTTCATTCTTATTTCACAGGATGGACTACAGAAGATAAAGTATAAATATCCCTTTCTTACTGTTCATTACCAGTCACATTTTCTCATATTCAATTTCATTCTTCCCTTCCAAGAAACCTAAATAGGAGTAGATATTGATTTTGGAAATGTGTTTCTTAATGGTAAGAAATAGCAAACTATACCCTGAGTTGTAACTTTAAATGTATATTGTATGTCCTTTGGATGAAACAAAGATGTGTACTTGGTCCTATTTTTAGTGCTCCTGCCGTATATCAGGAGACACATATTCTGTATTTAGCAGGAAAAAATATTTTTACCATTTTTCAGTGCCTAGAATGAATAAAAGATCTAAGATTTCTTGCCTTGTGAGCCCTTTTACAGTTTAGCAGAATCAAGAGGTGAAAATTCACCTGCAGTTTTGATACACAACCTGACAGGACATGGGCTATAACTCACAAAAAAAAAAAAAAGAAAAAGAAAAAGAAAAAAAAAGAAAAAAAAGAAAAAAAAAAGTCCTGTTTGAAAGATTTATCTCTTGGAAGGAATCCATGCAGATAAAGTGGCTGGATAAAGCAGAATGGAATAGCACACAATTGAAACTGGTTGTTACACTTTTCATGTAATGGCATTCTTTTGTTCTTTGTATTAAATATTCTAAATAGTCTCTCTATATTAATTGATAGATTAAAGCAAGCTAGATATTATGTGCGCATGTATCATTTCTGATTGGCCCAATTTGAAAGCTTACTGGGGCATGAAAAAAACCACCACACACACAATGCTTTCTTTCTGGGCAGTGTAAGGAACACAAGACTGGAGACAGAAATGGGGATGTATTCTGATGATCACAGCCTTGAATGGGCAAACTATCTGTTTCAGAATAAAAGCACAGAAGACTCAGCATAAGGATACTATCCCCTGTTTAACCTAAGACAAGCACATCAAATCCAAAACTTCACACTTTGTCACAGACAACACTGCTGATGGTGTGGTTTTCCTTGTAGGAAAATGTGGACGAAAACCTAGATTTTTGTGGCCAGTCTTTGCTGGCTGACAGGGTCAGCTGCATGGGGCAGTCACTCGGGGCCCAGTGCCCAGCAGGGCCCTGTACTTGGTTTAAAGCTTTGCTGTTGCTGAGTGTTAAAAATTTTAAGAATTTTTGAACTAGGAACGCTGCATTTTCATTTTGCAATGGGCATCACAAGTTATGTAGCCAGTCCTGCTGGCCGGACCCAACATTTTGGAGCTCAGTCTTGTTACTTTATAATGGTAGGACATGAAGCCTTTGGAGAGTTTTTGGTATTTTGTTTGTTTTTTGGTTGTTTTCTTTTTAAAAATTAAGCAGTATTACTTTTGAAGCTAATTTATTTATATTTATGGACTTGAATCTCATACCTCTGGATGGCAGGGTATTATTCTTATTCTATTCTTATTCTTGAATTAGGTCTCCCCACTCCCAACAGGTTTAATAACATAATCTATTAGCTGTAGGTCATGATAGGAGATCGAGCTCTAAGTCAAACTTCTATTATAACTGCTGAATACATCCTTCCAGCCTTAGTTCTCTGAGGTGGAACCTCTGTGCATGTCTCATACACTCACTTGCTTTCTCCCTGATGGTCTTTCATTTCCACTTTTATGATGCTGTCAAAACTGTGCTTCAGAAAAGCCTAACTAAAAAGAAGGAAGCCAGGTGTTCACAGACATTTTGATTAACTTTACCCTTTTAAACCACCTTTGAATTTTAAAATGCATTCTGTGGAACACACTTAATTCTTTGCCTACTACTACATCATGTGATTCAGTATTAACTGACTTATAGCCAAGTAATTATCTCTTGCATCTCTACTGAGGGAATACATGTTATTGAAATGGTTAAGGTTTTAATTTTTTTTAGACAAGATTTTTGCTAATTAGATATCGTTAATTTACCCATATGTTGGTTTCTTAAATTTTTTTAATGTTATGATTTTTAAAAGTTGGATATTCTACCTTCTTCTAAAACATGGGAGGGGCTGTTTCAGTTAGTAATTTAATGAAGTCCAACTTATCTATCATTTTCTTACGGGTAGCATTTTTGTGTCCTGTTTAAAAGGTCTTTGCCTATTCTAAGCTCATGTATATTTTCTCTTCCATTATTTTCCAGAAAATGTATTGTTTGACTTTTCCTATTGAAATCTATTCCATATGGAATTCATTTTTATTTATGATATAAGATAGTGAGGTGGGATTCAAGGTTTATTTTTATTTGTTTTCCAGTTCACACAATATCACTTTTTGGGAAGAAGAAAAGCAAAAGAAACTATCATTTGACAACCCTTACTCATCAGTGCAGTATTTGTGTATATGGGTTTGTTTCCGGACTATTTCTGGAATGTTTTTTCAATACATTTATTGTCTATCCTTTAATGAATAATAAATTTAATTACAATAGCTATAAATTTTAATTTCTTTATTTGATGTTGTAGGTCTTCCAACTTAACTTTTCTTCAAGGTCATCATGGCTATTCTTGGTCTTTAACATTTCCACATTGATTTAAATCAGCTTCTCAAACTCCACAAAAATACCTGTTGAGATTTTAACTAGGACTACAGGAGATCAAACTCAGAAATGACTTTTCTGATACTATTGTCTAATTCATGGACATAGTATGTATGACATAGATCTAGATCTTTTTAAATTTCTTTCAATAATATTTTATAGTTTTCTCTCTTACACACTATTGTTAGATATAATCCTATTTGTTTAATTTTTTGATATATTATAAATAACATTGTATCATTTTTAATTTTATTTTCTAATTTATTGGTATTTTATGAGTATAATTTATTTTTGTGTATTTTGTATGTACTGCGATAAATTCACTTATTGATTCTAAATGTTTATCTTTTGGATTTTCTATGTACATTCTCATGTCTTGTCTTCAATGCATATATACTTTATTTTTCTTGCCTTATTGCATTGGCAAGACTTCCAAGAAACTCTTAAGTGGCAATGGCAATGGGGTTCTCCTTATTTCTTAAGATAACTTTATCTCAGAAAGAAATTTTTCAGAGTTTCATCAAGCTTAATATTTACTATAAGTTTTCTTTGAAGATACTCTCTATCATATAAAGAAATTTCCTCCTACTTCTGTTTTGCTAAGAGGCATTTATTTTGTTTTGTCTCAGTAATGAATGGTTGTAAATGTTTTTATTTATTCATTTGAATTTATTAAAAGGGCTACATGATTACTCTCTTATTTCTGTCAGTGTAGTGGATGACAATGATTGATTGTTGAGTGATAAATCAACTTCCCACTCTTAGTTTAATTCCAATTATATTATGTTTTCCCATACTGTTAGGTTTAATTTGATATTCTTTAGTATGTTTGTGTCTCTATTCACAAGAAAGATGGGTAATTTTCCTTTTTTTTATGTCTTTGCCAGGTTTTGCTGTCAGGATTACAATGGTCTTATAACATGAGATGGGAAATATACTCCCTCTATCTAGACTATTAAAAAGCCTGTGCAGGATTGAAATAATGTTTTCCTTAAGTATTTAGAATAATTCTCTTTTGAAGTATCTGGGCCCAAAATTTTCTTTGTGTGAAGGTTTTTAATTTTGAAATCAATCTCTTTCATAGATAATGGCATCATTCAGATTTTTTATTTATTTGTATCAATTTTGGTAAGTAATGCTTTTTTCAAGGAATTTAATGTATGAAGTTAATTAATATAAAGTTGTTCATGATCTCCTTTTACTATATTTTAACATGTGTGATTTTTAGCTTTTTTCTCCCTCTTCTAGTGGATGTATTTAAGGCTTTAAAATTTCCTCTTTAAGCACTACTCTTCCTACATTGCACACATGTCACTCATTTCCAAAGATTTTCCAATTTCCTCAATTAAAACTTTGATTTTTATCTCTACAGTGCAGTGAGAGCACTATAAACCCTATGCCACTGTTTTCTGTTTTGCTTCCATGCTCTATGCCAAAACCCAGCCTACTCCCCGAGGGCTTGTGGGGCTCACCTCAAAGTATTTCCCTTCTTTCTGCAATCAAGACTCAATCTTCAAGGATTCAGGATCTAGAAACTTCAAGTCCTGGCTTCACTGGTTTCCATTTGTAACGTTTAGTGTTTTTGTTTTTGTTTTTGTTTTTTTCTCTTTTTTTCTTTTAGATAGAGATTTTGTAGTTATCCTTTATGGCAGATGAGACACAAGATACTTCCTCTTAGACACATCAGTTTACTCCCCCCACCTCACCCCAGGTAAAATTTTACTGGTAAAATGCATTTCACTTCTGCTGCTGTCATACCACGTATTTGTTCAGTTTATTATTACCTAGAGAATGGCAATATAGACATATTGAGAATCTTTTTGAAAATATTTAGTTTAAAAATTAGTCATAATATTTCCCTTTTCTTTGTGTGTCTTGATACAATAGGTTGTATGTATGTGTGTGTGTGCTATTTCAATATCTGATTTTATCTCTAACGCAATTGTAATTCTTTTTTTAAAGGATTGCCATGGCAAAACTGGCTTTTTTTTTTTTTTAAAGATGGGAGAGGAAGCATCAAACACTAGTTATTTTTGAGTTTCATCAAACCTGTGTATTCCTTCTTGTGTGTAACAGTATGGGAATTGCTGTGATAGAGATGAGGATTGAAAACCCCTACTAGTGAAGCTAAAACTCCCCTGGGATGTTCTCTGATTCATAAATATAGATCAGCACATGCAAATAGTTCTCATCTGTTATGTTGCAAATCTTTTCTCACTGAGCTCACTTGAGCATTATTGGTGGCTCAGTAGCATCATCTTTCTCTAGAAAGAACAATCCCTAACAATTTTCGGTACTTTAATGTCACATTGGGGAATGACTCAGTCATAAAACAGATAATTTATTCATCATGGACAAATGAGTGAATCATGATGTGGTCACTTGGATCTATATCCCATTTGTGATTATTTCTTTAATTCATTAACCAGAAAACAAGACTTTTCATGCCAGTGTTTTTTGCCATCCATGAGAAGCAGCATGCTTGCATTTTCACTTTCTATTCAGGCCACTGTGAATTCTGTCTCTTAAATTATTTATATCAGACGAGTCTTTCCTTATTAAGCTTTGCCGCCTGGCCCTGTCCTGGAAGCTCTGGACCCAGGGCACTGTTTCTCCGGGTACCCTCTCCTAAACCATGCCTTTATCCAGGTGAGCTCAGGTTATGCTGAGCATCAAGGGAAGCCTTCAAAAAAGAAAAGACACACAAAATAGTATCTTGCAGTTTGAAGAGTAGAAGGAGGGATAGAGAGTTAGACAGTCCCACCCACTTGTCCTGGTACTGGGAGAGGAATTATGATCCAGCTCTATATATTGAGACTACAGAGTAATAAGACTGGTTCAACAGGTCACTCAGGAAAATCATATTCTTCTGGCCATACCAAACAGCTTTAGATCTTTCTTAGGTAGTGCTCTCAGAACCACTTTCTTTTTCTTCACTCTGGAAGAGTCACTCCCTGGACCAGCAATGTCCCTTCCCATCATCTTTCATCCAGTTGGAGCTGTGAGTGGAAGACAACTGTGGGAGCAGCGTGCATCCAGGGTGACTAAGTGTAGCTGGGCAGGGAAGGCTTCTGAGCTGGAGATAGAAAAGCCTCCACTGCATAACTTTGATGATTGTGCCATTTTGTTCTCTAAGACAATTGCTATTCTGTCTTTGAAACAGATCCAATAGAAAATATATTAATTGTCCCAAAAGCCCTTAAACTCTTGCCATTATTTAAGTCAAAAGCAGCCTGGTGATAGTGACACAGGGCAACTGAGAAAGATGTACTGTCAGGGTGGAAAGAGGGGAGAAAACATTATCAGAAAAACCTGGATAGTGTCTTAGTCCACTCAGGTTGCTATAACAAATTCCATAGAGCATGTGGCTTACACAGCAGAAATTTATTCCTCACAGTTCTGGAGGCTGGCAAGTCCAAAATCAAGGCACCGGCAGATTTGGTGTCTGGTGAGAGCCCACTTCCTTGCTCATATAGATGGCCGTCTTCTCTCTTTGTGCTCACATGGCAGAAGGGGTGAGGGAGCTCTCGGGGTTCTCTTCTGTTAGGGCACTAATTCCATTCATTAGGGCTTCATTCTTACCTCCCCAAAGCCCCACCTCCTGATATCATCACATTGGGGACTAGGATTTCAGCATGTGAATTATACAGACTACAGCAGGTAGGCTGTGAGTTGCTTTGTTGACTTTTTTTGGAAGGTCATAGTCAATTATGACAGTGTGAAGACTGTATCAGAGAAGTACCTGATGCAGACATAGTGAGAGGAGGAAAGGAAAGGAGGAGCTGCTGCATTCTGTTACTTCTCTATTGGTTTTCAACATTTCTAAGTTGGAATACTTGCTTATGAAGCAATACCAAAATAGTCTGGATTTATATGGAGGAACACCAACATATTTAGAAAATGCATGATGTCTCTCATATAGTTGGTGTCTGTCCAGCATCCGTTTAACTTCTATGGTTCCCAGAACAAATTAGCCAGTGAAGACTCTAGCTCCAATCCCTTTTTTCTTTGCCCAGACAAATGGTGACAGATTTCTTCATTTATAAAATATAGTGGTTAATTTGGATGATTCCCCAATTCTAGCCAGCTTTGATAATTGAAACTCTGCTTTTGTGAAACCTGAGGTTTTGGGACTTCTCACCTAGTTTCGACATTGAGTAGCATTACAGAGTACTCAGTGGTATTCCGGGTGCCTTAAGGACCCTCTGTTCATTCCAGCTACGATAAAAACTGCCAAGCGCTTAACATCAAACTGCATTTTCTCCAAGTGGATTGCCAACGCATTGATGCCAGAGATCACAATTGCCTTTTGGAATATCACGTGATAACTGATATCACAGCAGTGCCAGCCAATTCAAGAGAAAGATGGCACTAGTTACTTGTTTCAAGAGGGAAATTCAGGTACAGGCGGGGTGGACTTCAGTGTTTTAAAGTGAAGCTTGCTGATGAAAGGCAACTCACAAAGTCTGGTGCCAACTGTTTCTTTTGGCAGGTCACCAATGTCACTCAGATCTCAGCTTAGCAACTATAGATGCTAATTACCTTGAAGTTTATCAATCTACCTAAAAGCAAAAACAATCATCTGATGAGTCAAATTATCACTCATATCAAGCATCATTATGGTTTCTTTGCCTATCAGAATAAATATGTAGTTCAATGGAGTAGAAAGGGACTTACATTAGGAGTCAAAAACCCAGGTCCTAGGACTTCATAATTTATTTGTTGAACATTCTTAGGGGAAATTATTGATCTTCTCTGAGCTTTTTCTACATCTAAACTTAGGAATAATCCATATGCAACATCATTTTATAAGAATGTTAAAAGACCCCGAGAGAATTCACCTCTAGTTTTATAAGTGAAAAAACTGACCCTCAAAGAATTGTATTCACTTAGTGAAACTGGAAATTCCACGTTCTTTCTGTTAGTTTTTATTAGCTCTGTTTTGAAACCAAATGAGACAATGTATATGGATGCTACAATATAGAAACTGTAATATACTATCCTGCATAGTGTATTGATAAAGAAGGGCAGTAATGACATCTCTCATTTCCAAATGAGAACATTAGGGCACAGGTAAGTTGAAAGATTATTTGAAATCAGCTCTCAAGGGTTAGAAGTCAAGTTTTTTTCATCTACCAACTTCAGGAGTATCTCCGTGAGAATAGACTATAAGGGAGTATTATTTTCAATAGGGACTAAATATACTTGTCACTAAGTGGCAGTATAGAATAATGGAAAAGGCATAAGTTCTGGAGGCCAGGAAACCTGGCTTCCAAATCAGAACCCATCCCTTACTAGCTATATCACTTTGGATAAATATTTCACCTCCCTGAGTATGAGGTTCCTCAGGTAAAAAATGGAGATCTAATTAGTAATAATACTATCAAATACTTATGGAACATTTATCATGTCATAATTACTCCTGAATAGTTTTGTATTATTGTTTCAATGGTCTTAAATTTATTAGCTCTGTGTATTCGTAGAACAGATTTACTTGAAAACTTTGAGAAGATTAAATATGCCAAGCCCCTGTTTAGTTTCCTTCCTTTCTCTCAAACACTACAGAGAGGTTTGATATTCACGCTGGTGACAAAACATATACTGTGACAAATGAATCCCTTCCTCTTCCCACTGTGACCCAACTAGGAAGTATGGGGATGGGAAAGGAAAAACAATGGGATTGATTGTTTCATATCTATCACAATTAGGAGATGAATTATTGATTATTAGTGTTTTTCCAAGCATTAATAACAATAATGCTCTGGCCTTACTTTATGGTCATTTCTATCCAACCTGAAAGAAATAACAGTTTTCATTGGGTTTTCAATTGATGTTGTCGGTGTTTGCCCATAACTGAGCAAAAACATTTTCCCTCCAGGAACTGTTTTCTCATTAAAGCATAGGCAAACTGCATTCATTACATAGCACATATCATTTAATTCTTGTAATTTTATCTGGTTAAAAAAAAAAAAAAACATAATGAGAAGGAACTAACTTCACAGGAGATTTTTCTAAAGGAATTATACCCTACAATCAAAATCAAAATTGACTTTCCAATTAGAAAAGGAATTCAGGTCAGGAATGTGAACTAGCAATTTCAAAATTTAACCACATATATCGTTTAGAACAAATATTACAAACAAACTCTTTTTGCTGCTCTATTTACCAGAAGATCTTTTCAGCAGTTTCTGTAAATTCTTACCTTGTTGCCAAAGAGTGATTTGAGGTTCAAAAGCAACTGGAGAATAGAGCTATTATTTCTGTGACTTTTCATTAATTCTGAGCCTTATGGTGACTGAACATCTTTCTTTCCAGAAGCTCAGAGACATTGTTTACTGAGCTGCTATGCTAATTTGTACTTTGGAACAAAGCTTGAGCTAGTACCTCCTTCAGAGATGGTGCAAATGAATTGGGTAGAAGCAATGGTACCCAGATCTTGTAGCTTTGGAGATTGTCAAAACTTCAACAACAGAGTATTTCACAATTACTCTTAAATCTTTAGATATAATCTCTCTTCTGAATTCTAAATATATTAACCACATATGGTATATTCACCTGGGAGTCCCAGAGGCACCTCAAATTCAGCTCATTCCATATGTACGCATAATATTCTGCAAATCTGCTACTTCTTTAGTATGCTACATCTTGATTAATGATTTACTATTCACCTAGATGTCCAAGCCAGAAATCTGACCGTCATTCTTGATTGTTCCTTTTGTTCAGTGTTTGTATCCAGTGAATCTCTCCTGACCATCAGTTCTGCTTCCAAAACGTCTTTGAATCTGCTCATTCCTCCAACTACTATCCTCATTTTCTCTCTCCTGGATGATTGTCACAGCTTCCTAATGGGTCTGCTCGTCCCCAGGGTAACCACTTTCCATTCCACCCACTGAACTGCTGCCGGAGTGTGCTTTTTGAATAACAAATCCGATCTTGTCGCTCACACAATTAAAACCCTCCAGTGGATCCTAGCCATTTACAGCATGAAAATTCACACCCCTGAGCATAGACTTGCAAAGACTGTTTTTGATCTGGCTCCTCTGTCTTTCATCTGCAACCTAAGGCAATCCTCCCTGAACGTTTCCTGGTTTGGTTTCATGTAATCCTCTCTAGGGTTCCTGTGTCTTTGCACATGCAGTTCCCATGCCTGGAACAGCCTTTATCTCTTCCACCCCCTACACACCTACTCAACAGCTCAGGAGGCACCTGTTCTGGGCAGCTCCTCCTGTGCCCTTCTGTGCATATTCTGGGTAACAATCTCATGCGCATCCTTATAGTAATTTTTACTTCATTATATTTTAATTCATTGTTTATGTACTAGTTTCTCCCTTCTTTCTGTGTATTCATTTGAGCATTCTTTGTATTCCCAGCATCTATCAGAGCATTTGGCAGTAGAGTAGGAACTCAGTACATGTTTGCTGAATATGAATGAATACCAAGGCAGCTGGTTTCAGTCAAAGCGCGGCAACCCCAGGCATACAACTTAACGTCCTTTGAGACTTTGTCCTCATTTGCAAAACCAAAGATGACAAAACCTATCTTCCTGTTCTGCTGTGAGAATTAAATAAGAAGGACATACTCTGTAAACAGTAAATTAATATATAAACATATATAAGATCATATAATTACTGTGACCTATTACACACCGAACAATAAAAATCAATAAAAACTGATTTATTGATACACATGACACGTGGAAACACATCACGAAACTACCAAGGCTTTCCTTTCATTCCCATCTCCATTGCTTTCCTTCCCTTCACTATTGATCCATATACCCTTGATGTTATAACCACTACATCTGGTGTCCTAAAGTTGCCGTCCACTTTCAGATCTGCATGACTTTGTATGCTGTCCCCCTGCTCAGAATGTCCCTTCCCTCTGCTCTCCTGGTGAATTTATCCTCTGAAGTCTGACGCCAGTTTGACACTCATTTTTAAGTTCATTTATTTATTTTGTGAGAGTGTGAGAGCAGGGGGAGGGGCAGCGGAAGGAGAGAAAGGGAGAATCCCAAGCAGGCTCTGTGCTGTCAATGAGGAGCCTGGTGTGGGGCTTGATCTCAGGAACCAGGAGATCATGACCTGAGCCAAAATCAAGAGTCGGTCGCTTAACCAACTGGGCTGCCCAGGAGCCCCCAGAGTTTAATACTCTGGCAAGCCTTCCCTGTCTCCCCCAGACAGAACTGATTATGCTCTTCCCTCAGACACTTGGTATATGCTTGTCTTATGGTTGGCTACACTGTAGATAGTTTTGTTTGCGTGTTCATCTTTTCCACATTCTATTGTGAGCTCCTTGAGGTGAAATCTCATTTTCCTAGGACTGTTATTACCATTTCCCTGTGATTGTTCCCTGCAAAGTGAGTCTCACTCAGATTCCCAAACCAAAGGGCACAATACAGGCAAAATATTTAAGCATTCGCCATCTCTCAGGTTGCCCTTCTCTCGGTTGAAGAGTTTGTGCTCTAGGAGACACCCTGGGTTTATGAGTTTCCCTCAAATTTCCCTTGATGACCATTTGGGATCTGCCTGGGGCTTCCAGGTGTTGAGGTTCTTCCAGGTCACTGCTCTCCCTGGCATTTTGTAGCTGGATTTGTTTTAGAGCTTTAAGTGGATGCAGTCTTGGTTTCCCTCTTAGTATCAACTCAAGTCTCCATATGAGAGGCTGGCACTCTCTTTCCTCCCTGGTTTACTTTTCCCTGATGCCTGAAGCTTTGCTCAGGAAACTCAGCCCTGTGACTTACCATGAGCTATCTCTCATCCAGGACATATGCCCCAGAATATTCTTTCCCTCCCTTCCTCTTGTCCTGCCCTGTTTGCTTTCCTTCTCTTCTTCCCCTCCCTCTCCGTCTTCCTATTCCCCCTATATTGACCATGTCTTCTAAAGGCAGCCAATTGTCACTGAAGATTTGCTCAGTGCTAGGCACCTGTGTTAAGCACTACACATGCATTATATCATTGTTCCTTGCAATAAATCCATCAGGAATTACTATTAAGGCTCCTATTTTAAAAGAAAAGGACACTGAGATGTACAGAGATATTATGACTTAGCAGACGTAGGATTTCAAACAACCTGGGTCTACTTGAGTAGAAAGCTCATGCTCTTAACCCCAGTGATTTTTTGCCTCTGAGGCATCTCTGACCCCACCCCCCTTTCTCCTGTCTGCCTCTCCCCAATTCCTCTGAGCCTCTGCACTGCCACCAGTGGCACACAGTTTGCCCACATTGTGACTTAAATGATCATGTTCAGCTGCACGTCCATGATCAACTTTTATTGCACAACCTGTCAACCTCCCTGCTCTGCCTTTCTTTACGTACAACATCTGGTAACCTTCACCTCTTGACATACAGCAGAGGGAAAGAGCTGCAACTTCTTTATCTTTACATTCCTAACGTCTACCACAAGTGGGTCCCAAACAGATCCACTAAACAAATACACAGATTTTATTGACAATAGTAGAGAAAAGATGAATAGAAGCAATATCCAACATTCTTTTGACCTGGAATTATGTTAAGTACCGTTGATTTTATATAGAAACATTTGACATGTTAAGTGTTCGCAAAGGAGATGGCCCAAAGCTGACTAGCTGACTACTAGGCAACCTTGTTGGTTTGGATTGAATTAATGCAACAAATTCAAACCTAAGTGTAGAAAACTGGGTTTTTTAAAACAGAAAAGGGAAGTTGAGCCCTATAAAAACATTTACTTGTGCCTTTTTCTCAATCTTAACTTCAATATTTTATTATAATTAGAAGCAACCATATTTGTTATAATTACTTTCTCTTTGCAACATTCCTGGGAGATTAGAAAAAGAGTGGGTAATTATAAATTGAAGTGTAGAAAGGTGGCTTGGTCAGGATCCTATAATGAACCCAAGGAACTGCTTCCCTGCTCATGATTTTGCTCACTGGCAAATCTTAATACAGTTTTTGGTTCTCAAGGAACCACTTATAAAATTAGACAGTAAAGCAAAGCTAATTTGAAGTTAGTTATTTAACTTATATAGTCATGAATCACTCACTGTAGACTGTATGCTATAGACTAAATGCATTTTGTTTTCTATAAGGTCACCTAAATGGGGAGTTTTCTTCTTTGAACTCTGAGCCTATGATGGGAAAAGGCCCATCCATATATCTCTACTCCATGCTGTATTGCTTTTACCTTTTTGGGAATATGGTGTTTTGTCATGTGTTGTAGAAAGGATAATAGCCACCCCCACCCCCCACCAAGATGTCCACGATCTAATCCCCCAGAACTTATGAATATGTTATGTTGCATGGCAAAAAGGAATTTGGGTTACAGATTGAATTAAGGTTCCCAATCAAGTGACCTTAAAATAAGGAGATTATTCTGGATTATCCAGGGGGGCCTAATATAATCACAGGGGTCCTGAAGTGACCATGATGTAAGAATGGCTTGACACATCATTGCTGGCTTTAGAAGGGGCCACCATCCAAGGCACATGGGTGGCCTCTAGAAGCTGGAAAAGTCAGAGTGACAGGTAATTTACTAGAGTCTTCAGCAGGGACACAGCACTGTTGACACCTTGATTTTAGCATGGTGAGACTCATGTCAGACTTCTGGCCTACAGAACTGTAGGATCATAAATATGTGTTGTTTTAAGCCACCAAGTTTGTGGTAATTTGTTATGGCAGCTATTGAAACATAGTATAACATCCCTGTGATGTCCTATCCATCCACAATCTTGAGAAATGGGATTCCCACACCCTCCTGGACCACTTAGGTATCTGACTTTGAATTTTGGTGACACTCTCTCTCCCCAGGCTGAAGGACATGTCTACTGTTCTCACGTCAGTACCTGTTAGAAGGGAGGGGTGAATCCCACAGAGAAAAGCTCAGGCCCTGGTGATCTCCTTATTTTATTTTTAAAACACGTTTCTTCTATCTAGTGTGTAGATATTCTGGAGTGGTTTGAAGAATGTTGAATGGGGAATTGGTCCTGAGCCATCTCACTTGGACCTGGAACTACTGGCAAATGTAGGCCACACTGAGGGGCCAGGCCCTGCCCAACAGAACTAACATGGTGCTTTTACCGTTAAGGTCCCCACAGCCTTTTAGTAAAGTCTGGCTCCTGCGCCCCACCTCCACCCCTTTACCATATATGTCTGCATATATCAAACACTAATTGTGAAAAAGCTCCATACCCTTGCACGTGACATTTTGGCACCCTAGGGAAATCAGGCATGTAATCAGACTAGTGTTTCTGTGAATCACCACATACTGTGTGACAGGTAAGGAGTTTTCCAAGCTTTTGCTGTCTTAATTTGGCTCCAGCACAGCCAATATGCACTATGACATAAAATTAAAAATCAGTAGCCTCAGTCCTCAAGGAGTGTGGGTACCTATTGAAGAGATATACATAACGTGATCTTTGTGGCAATAGATATTTAGCTGTTGTGCACTGGTATTCTTGCATAGCTGGATCTGTTTTGATTGGCCAAGGCCATATTGGCTTGGCCATTTGATCTGCCCTATTGGCTATTATGTGTTTTGGATGTGGGAGAACAGTGAAATTGCCCTTATCTCATCTTCAGGATGGAAATGGAAGCCTGTTGGGAGAGAAGAGTCAGAACCTTGAAGAATTAACAAGCATTACTAAGCAGTGGAGAGAGAATTCCAGAGCATGGGCAAGGTCAAGATTCAAATAATTTTAGCCCATGTATAGAGAGTGTTTGGTCCGAGTGGTGAGGGTGCTAAGTACATGCTGTTGGGAACCACAGGACTCTTGAAAATTTGTCTCTGGAGTTCTTTGGTTATAAATTTTTTAAAAAGCTGATCGGTGTAATAGTTAGCTTAAAATTCTTTTGTTGTTGAAATGAGTGTTTCTGGTCACTTTTTTTTTTTTTTTTCTCAAAGGTTGTTCATTTTGGCACACTATGAAGTGGTCCCTCACCTAGCTTGAAGGATTACTGATTTGTAAAATGGC